AATCAACCAATAACAAATGCTGGTGGGATTCTGAGGAGAAGAATTCCCTTCTTCACTGTTGGTGGGAGTGAAGATTGGTGCAACCCCTGTGGAAATCCATATGGAGATGACTCAAACAACTAGGATTACAAGTCCCATTTGACCCAGCTAGTCCTCTGCTGGGTATCTTCCCAAAAGAATTAGAATTATACCACAGCGATGTATATGCACCCATTTTTATAGCAGCACAGGTTGTAATAGCTAAAATTTGGGAACAGCCCAATTGCCCATCAACTTGAGGCTGGATAAGGAAGTTGTGGGTTTTTATTTAATGAAATGGAGTAGTACTCAGCCATAAAGAATGAGAAAGTAGAGACATTTATAGCTAAGTGGATGCACATTGAGATCATACTGTTAGTGGAATTAATAAGACACACGTATAAATACCAAATAGTTTCTCTTGTGTGAAAAACTAGAAATGTAAATAAGGAACAAAATGTATAACTGATAATGGGTAATATGAAAAAAAGGTCTAAAAGAGTAGAGAAAGTTGGGGAGGGGAAAAGTAAAAATGGGAAAGAAATAAATGAGCACAGGGAAAACATGGAAACAATGTCTTTGTAAACAGGAAAGGGTGGAGGGCATGAAGGGAGGCAGGAGAATGGGGAAGAAATAAGGTCCAAGATAAGTCATGTAAAGGTACAAGATCCCAACGATTAACTGTATTGTATACCTAAAATATACCAATATATTTAATAAAAAATAAAACAAAAATGGATAAAGAAATAAGATACTTCCATGACTAAGAACACCTGAAAACAATTCATGACCACCAAACCAGCTCTACAAAATATTCTGAAAAATATTTCAGAAAGCGATAATGAAGATCACAATTCCATGAAAGCCAACAAGAAGAAGGCACTAGGGTAGGCAAGCAATTCAACAGAGGATAAAGACAGGGAAGCAACAACAGGAAAATAATATGACAAAGATAAGCAAAATGCGTATCAGTTGTAACCATCAATGTGAATGATTTTAATTCACCAATCAAAAGACAGACTAGCAGAATGGATTGAGATCCAATAACTTGGTGCATACAAGAAACACTTTTAACTCAGAAACAAATTTACAGACTGAAAGTCCAAAGATGGAAAACAATACTTCATGTGAGAGGAACCCAGTAAAAAGCAGGAGTAGCTATTCTATTTGCAGACAAAGTGAACTTAAATTCAAGACTGATCAGAAGAGACAAAGAAGGTCACTACATACTTGATAAGGGAAAACTCCAAGAATATATGCACCAAATACCATATACTCAACTATATAAAACAAATATCAACAGATATGAAAAAATGAAAGAAGCACTAACACAATTATAATGGGGACCTCAACACTCCACGGTCACAAATAGGTGGATCAGCCAGGAAAAAATTCAACAAAGAAATATCAGAGCTGAACCAAATCTATAAAAAAATTGACTTAGAAGATGTCTATGGAGTGTTGTACCCCACAAGATTAGAATATATGTTCTTCTCAGCTGCACGTGGGATGCTTTCCAAAACAGACCACATACTAGTGGATAGAATATACTTAACTAAATACAAAGGAAATTATCCATGCATATTATCAGACCATAATGCAATGAAATTGAAAATGAATGACACAAAAACTTCACAAACACATGAAAATTGAATAACAGCATCCCGAACAACCAATGGGTCACAGTTGAAATTGAAGAAGAAATTACACAGTTTCTACTATTAAATTATAATGCCAGTATAACATACCAGAACTTATGGGACACAATAAAAGCCGTCCTACATAGGACATTTCTAGTGGTGAACTCTCACATCAGGAAAACAGTGGTCAAGTAAACAACCTAATGCTCATCCTCAAACTTCTAGAAAAAGTACAATTAAAGCCCACAGCTCATATGAGGGAGGAAAGTATGAAGATTAGAGCAGGAAATAATGTACTCAAGACTAAGAAAATAATACAAAAAAACCAATGAATCAAAGACTTGGTTCTCTGAAAGACTGAATTAAAATTGAGAAACCCTCAGCCAATCTTAATAAAAGATGGAAAGAAAAGACTCAAATTCATGTAACTAAGAATGAAAAGCGTGAAATCACAATGGATCCTGGAGAAATCCAGAAGACCATCAACACCTATTTCAAAAACATTTGTTCTAATAAGATGGAGAAAGCACAGAAGAAATGGAAAGATTCCTAGGTACATATGAATTATCAAAGCTGAATGAAGAATATACAAATTCCAAATATGCCAATAACAGTCACTGAAATAGAGGCAGTAATTAAAAACCTCCCAACAAAGAAAAGCCCATGTCCTGATTGATTCACTGCTGAATTCCCCAAGCAAGTTAGAAAACAGCTTATGACAATACTCCTCTAACTCCTTAATGAAATTGAAAGGGAATCAATACTCCAAAAGCCATTTCCAGGAGCAAGTATTACCCTGATAACAAAACCAGAGAAGGATCCAAGCAAAAAAGTGAACTACAGTTCAATCTCTCTAATGAACATAGACTTTAATGAGATAATGGAAAACATAGTGCAGGAAATCATCAAGATTATTCACAATGACCAAGTAGGATTCATCTCAGGAATGCAGGGATGGATAAACACATGCAAATCAATAAATGTAACACACTATATTAACATAGCCAAGGACAAAAATCATATGATCCTCTCCATAGATGCAGAAAAACATTTGACAAATCCAACATTCATTCATGATAAAAAAAAAACCCACAGAAAATTAGAATCACTCATCGTTATCTCAATCTGATAAAAGGAATCTATGACAAAGCAACATTATGTGAAATCGTCAATCTAAACTCAGAAACAAGGTGAGGATGTTCAGTATTGCCACTCTTGTTCAAAATGGTTCTGGAAATGTTAGCTAGAGTAGTTAGACAGAGAAAGAAATAAAAATAATAAGGAGAGAAACAGATGAAGTTAAACTATCTTTGTTTCAGATGACATGATGCTCTACATAGAAAACCCCAAAAACTCCACCAAGAGACTCCAAGGTTCAATAACCAAATTCAGCCACAAGCTAGATACAAAGTCACAATGCAGAAACCTATAGCATTCCTGTACACAAATAATACACTCACTCAGAGAGAAATTAGGAAAACCACACTTCTTACAATAGCATAAACAATAAAATACAAAGGCACCAATCTAACAAAGGAAGGAACAGAACTTTACATTGCAAACTACAGTAATCTGAAAAAGGAAATCAAAGCAGCTATCAGAAAATGGAAACATATCCCTTGCTTGTGGGTAAGAAGAACCAACATAGTAAAAATGGCCATACTTTCAAAATTGTTATTCAGCTTTAATGCTATCCCAATCAAAACTCCAAAACCATACCTCACAGAACCAGAGAAAGCAGTCTTAAAATTCATTTGCAACCAGAAGAGACCTAGAATAGCAAGACCAATTGGTGAGGCAGGGCCGCCACCATCTCTAACTTTAAATTATACTACAAAGGTAATGGAGTGAAAACAGCATGTTACTGGCAAAAACAAGCAAACAAACAGAAAAACAAATAGACTTGAGGGCCAACGATTTGGCTTGGTGGTGCCTCCACCGGCCTCACAAACACAAGGTCCTGAATTGGATCCCCAGTATCCAAAAAACAAATCAAAGCACTACCCCCAAAAACCCCAAACACACTTGAGGATCAACGGAAGAGACCAGAAGATGCAGAAACAACTCTGAACCACTCAGACACCCTATCTTTGACAAAGGGGCCAAATATCTGCACTGGATGAAAGATAGCCTTCTTAATAAATGGTGCTGAAAAAACGGGCTTTCCACATGCTAAAGCTAAAACTCACCCCATGTCTCTCACCAGGCACTAAACTAAAATCCAAATGGACCAAAGATCTAAATATTAAAGCAGAAATACTAAATCTGCTAGAAGAGCGAATAGGTGGAACACTTGAAGACATGGATGTAGGCAATGACTGTATGAATGAAATCATGATCACACAGGAAATATTACCAGAATGTACAACTTGGATCTCATCTCATTGAAAAAACATCACTAACAGAGTAAAGAGACAACTAAAGGAGTGTAAGATAAAGAAAATGGTGGGGCCAGGGATTTAGCTCAGTGGTTCGGTGTCCTGCCTTGCAAGCACAAGGACTGGAGTTCACTCCCCAGTACGAGAAAAAAAAAAAAAAAAAAAAAAAAAAAAAAAAAAAAAAAAAAAAAAAGAAAAAAAAGAAAAGAAAATGTGGGGTTTTCTACAATGGAGTAGTACTCAGCCATAAAGAAGCATAAACTTGAGACATTTATAGCTAAATGGATGCACCTAGAGGCCATACTATTAGGTGAAATAAATCGGACACTCTTGTATAAATGTAGCATTGTTTCTCTGATGTGAGAAACTGAAAGTGTACCTAAAGACCAAAATGTACAATAAATATTGCACAATAGGAAGAAACTATTCAAATGGGAAGGGGCACAAGGGAGGAGGAGGAAGGAAAGGAATGAAGGGACAAGAAAAAATGAGAAAATAAAGATAAATTTTCAACAAAACTCTTGCAAAGAAGGGGAAGAGGGATAGAAGGGCGGGGAGAGTAATGGGAAACAAATAAGAATGAAGATGTATCATGTACAGGTACAAATTCCATGTGATGAATGTGATCATTATGTGTATCTAAACTGTACCAATGCTCTTAATTAATCATAGAAATGAAATGGGTGTGAGAAATGAACAGACGCTTCACAGAAAAGGAAATGCAAATAAACAACAGATATATGAAAAAATATTCAGCCTTTGACCATTAGAGACATTCAAATTAATACAGTGCAGTACTAAAAATGAAGAGAGATAATGAGAAAATAGAACAAAAAAAGGCATGTAGGTGGGGTGGGCCTGAGAGAAATGTGTCAAACCCCAGGTTTCGTTCTTCAGTGAAGGTGCATGACAGACTTTGTTATAATCATAACAAGTCAACATGAGTGACCACGTACGTACTTACCATGTGGCTATGCGAGGTCCTGCAGCTGTTTTTCCTAAAGTGTCTCAGAAAAGCTGGTAAAGGGGTGGAGGATTTAGCTCAGTGGTGCCCCGCCTGCCTGGAAAGTACAAGGTCCTGAGTTTGATCCCTGGTACTGGAAAAATTAAAAAAAAGCTGATAAAAAAGGACACAGCTCATGAGCTCAACAGCTGCAGCTCCAACTCTCATGATCTGATGCAGCCTTATGTTGTAAAATTAAAGTTTGCTTCCTGCTTTCTGGTGATGTCAGCTCCATGTGTTCTCTTTTCTTTGGGAACTTCGCCTGACTCGACTCCCTTTCATCCCATGGCATGGAGAGGTAGGAATACACATTTCTTTCTATTGAAACTATACCACTCTCTGACTCAGAACTCTTCTGTTGCCTGGAGGGCTGGCCTCCTAGACATAATCATTTTGCTTTTAGACCTCCTACATTCACTGCTTCAAATGGCCCCTTTTGTAAATATCTTTCTGATTTACCCTATTTACAATACGCAGTTCTACCTGCAGCCTGGGATCCTTCTCTTTTCCTATTTTTCTCCATAGCAAATATCCTCCTCGAAAAGCTAATTCGTGTTTCTCTAAAAAGAAGTGTTGTACCGATAAAGACAAGCCTCATAATTAAATGGAAATTAATTTGTAGCCTCTACCCTCCCTTGGAGGTTATAGAAAGATGACACATCAAATCTCAAGAGCTACTTAAGATAAAGAGGCTGACCTTTGGGAACCTACAGAAGAGAAAGAGGCTTATTTCATCCATGTACTGTCACCCTGTGTCTTAAATCTCTCAAATCACTGAGCTGAGTCAGCTCCAGTATCGTAAGTTAATAAGATATCTTGTAGTCAGACAGGGCCAGCCCTAGAGGAGCCCACACTGGGAACAATCCAGAAGCCAACAGGGTGGACAATCAAGACACATTCAATTAAGGCCCACATTCTAAAAGAAGACAAACTACTAGCCACCCCCCCACACCACCCACCCCCGACACACACTTGCTTCCCCTAGGGATAAGTAGCACTGACTGACATTCTAAGTAGGTATCAATCACCTGGGCAGGAGACCAAGATCTTAACAAACTCTTCCAGGAAAGGTCCCTGACCCATCCCTTACCTGAAATCCTTGTTCATTCCTTGTATGCTTTCTATGTGACTTGCTTCCCCATCGGATCCCCGTTTAATCAATAGGTCCTAAGCGACTGCACTTGTTGGAATCCTATTGGTTGATCATAATTTTGTCCCCTCTCATGTCCACCTTGTGATTTTTCATTGGGCCAATATTACCTAAGTGATTGTACTTGTAATATGACTTAGTTTTGTCCCTTCTTGAACCCACCTCACCTTGTGGCTTTGTCCCATGAGACACCTCTTAGAAGCAGGGTGAGTGGGTAACCCACTTTCCGGGTGTCCCTTCCTGTCCCTCTCAGACAGGAGCTCTCTCTCCCTCAATAAATTCTCCCTACGTTAACCTCCGTTGTCCCTAGAATTCATTCTAAGATTTTAGAGAACGCGAACTAGCATTTCGGATACCTAGCAGGTTTGGAAGTTACATCTATTCTACTGTGTCTAAATGACTCCTGTCAGAGTATTAAGCAAACTCAGTTCCACTGCCATGGAATCTCGTGCAGTGGAAGAGGCTATGTACATCTCCTGTTGTTAATGCCGTGTAGAGAAATAAAAAGAGAAAGATCCCAGCAAGCCCAAAGCGGGTTGGGCACAAAGCCGGAACTCAGGAGCAGACCTCTACTTCCGCGCCAGCTCCTTCCCGCCTCCGCTGCAGTAGCAAGTGTTCCCCTTCCTATCAGCGGCCAGGACTCGGATTGGGGGAAGGGTCAGGGAACCGACCAATGGGATCACTACCGCGGACATCCGGGGAAGTCTCGTGTCCACCGAGGAAACTGGTTGGGGGAGGGGGAGGATTGCGCATCGCACCCAAAAGTAGAGGGATTTGTTTCCATCCGGGAGATTTTAGGAACGGACCAGGAGCAAAAGGGTGAGTTCTTGTCAGTGTTTAGTAGGCGGGGTTGGGAGGGGACCCAAATCCCTGGCACTTGACGAGTTTAACGTTCATGTGGTTCCACTGCTGATATTCATCACGTAGGTACCAGGGCCATCCCCTGGGAATCCAACATGGAATTTATGATCCAGTCAGCCTCTTTCCCCGAGAAGGAAAGTGTAGTGAGGAGAACTCATAAGCAGCCCAGCAGCCTCTTCTCGCCTGTGGTCCCGGGAGGCTGAGCAGGAGAATCGCTTGAGGCGGGGGTTCAGCGCCAGCGTGGGAAAACCAGCGAAACCTGTCTTTTAAAAACAGCACGGATGGACTAAAGATTCGTTAGAGATGTGCTCGGTCCTCAGAGGAGCTCATACAATAGAGCCCCGAACTCCAGGCTGTGGCAAACAGACAGCGAGGAGGGAAGGAGGAATGAACCAGGATAAGAAAGAGATGAAGGGAGAGGATCGACCCTTTGAAGAACTTGCGGAGTTGAACTTGAGAGAGAACCATTGCAGAGCTAGCAGAAGAAGCAAGGACTCGAGATGTAACGTTAGGGCTCATTGTGAGGTCCTCAGATTGAGAACATCTGCGTTACGTTGTGAAAGGAGCTCAGCCACCACCAGCGCACACTAGCTAATCACTGCAAGTGCCTGTCGGCTGGGTGTCACTTGTCACTCACTGTACACACTGCTGTAGAGGGACTGCAGGAAGGCGAGGAAGAAGGATGGGACTCTGTGTGTGCCTGGGCCTGGGGCGGGGTGGGTTTGGCTTGAATGTGAGGATCTGTCCAGGATCCATTCGTCATGGATCAGGTCTCTGCCCAGTTTTCAGCAGGGATAAGCATTGCTGTGAAGGACCTTGTTACAGAGTCGTAGGATGCGAACTGTGGCTGTGATGAGAGATCCCAGGGTTAGGGGCAGAGAGGCAGAGACTCCATTCTCCTAGCACGTGGGTGCAGGGGACTTGGGAAGACTTGAGAGATTTCTGAGTGTGTCTGATGAGAGATCCTGAGGGAACAGGAAAAGCAGTGGCAGGCTTCCCCCCAGGGGAGGAATCCCACACACTTTTTGAGATCCTGTTGGTTGATTCCCCAGCGAAGAGACCTAGGCCCTGTGCTCTGTCACATTCTAGCTCCGTGACCCTGGAGTGCACAATTGTTAAACTTCCAGGAGCCAGTCAGTGAGGGGCACCCATTTCTTTTTACCAGAGCTGTGGCAGGGTCTAGTCAGTTTCTGTTGGATGAGACTCGAGTCTGAGAGCTGAAGTTGCGGTGGACACTCTTTGCTCTGTGGTATCAGGTTAGAAGACATTGGTACAGGTTCCAGAGTCTAAATGGAGGCCTGGAATGTTTATTCATTTAATTTATTTAATGGACAACTTTTCCTCTACTTACAGGCCTCTCTTTTCTGGCTCTGGCCTTTTTTCATCTCAGCAGTCTAAATCTATACAGTTGGGTCAGGGAGCCTTTGCTGAAAGTGCTGTGTGGACATACAGGATTTCTGCCATGCATGAGTCTTGGAGGGAACAGAGTTAGGAGTATGATGTCTGGGTGCCATAGGTTCCTTCCCAACATACTAGTATGCTCGGAGAGTAGGTAACAGGGCAGTTAGGGTGGAAGGGCACGGACTATAAATCAGTGCTTCCTATAACTTACTCTGTTCATCCTCACCCAGTCATAGAAGACAAGTGTTATTTTCCTTGTTGTTCAGATGAAGACACAGGTTCAGAGGGCTTAAGTGACTTACCCAGGTTCCCCTCCTAGGTAAGGGAGAAAACCGAGTTTTAGTGAGGTGCTTTTGACCATCACAATCTCTCAGTCGTGGTAGCCTTCTTTGTTTTGGATGACAACAGACAAACCCACACCAAGCAGGATCTGTGTGGTTCTGGAAGGCTGGGAGGTGTGTGGTCACTGCCGTGGCTTCTTTTGGAGCATTGAGATTGGATGCTGAAGTGTCCACATGGCTCCTTATCACATCAGCAAATACAGGATAGTGGCAAGGTTCTGAGTTTGGTCCCCAGTACCAATAAACAAACGAAAACAAACACAGAAAACCCACCACTCAATCCTGACTTCAGGTTTTTACACTTGATCTTAGCTAAAAGGCTGAGAAGCGATTCAGGTTCTTGTGTACAGTGTCACCCTCCTTGTTTCCTATGGCCCCTTGTCAGATAACCCTGGAAGCATTATGTGGTCACATATTTGCAGTGTGACCTGGATAATATCTGCAAATGTTTCCTGTGTACATGTGGCTCCTGCTTGTGGGTGGCTGAAAAGGGACAGGTGACGGGCACTATGTTTGCTGTGTCGTTGAAGAATGTTCCCCCAAGGAAGAAGCACTTGTGGCCATTTTACCTCCTAGTATCCAAGATCACTGAGGAGTTAGGATAGCAAACCTGTGGTCAGGACTGTGGGACCAGGGCTATGGTGCAATGCTTGACACCAGCATGTTGCTCAAGAGTTCCCTGGCCCTTTACCTGGACGTCAATGTCCAGGAGACAGGCCATTCATTCTCTTCAGGCCCTGCAGGCTAGTGGCTACTCTTCTTCTACTTAGGAAGTTGGTCTGTGATTTGTTACCTTGTGTTTTGGTCAGGATCCAATGCTTCTTCTATTGTAACAAGCAAACTGTGACATTCCTGTTGCATACCCATTAAAAGTTCATTGCTGTTGGACATCAGAGTTAAACCTGTTTGATAGTGAGGTCGGGTTGCTGGATACTGTCCTTTAGTCTGCCTTTCTGGGATGCCCGTGTGCCCCTTGTCTAGCACCAGGGTAATGTTGCATTAAAATCAACACAAAACAATAATAACCTGTTTATTTCATGACTGTACATTCCAGCTTTTACTTATTCTTTTTTTTTTTTTTGCTGGACTAGGTTGTACAGTGTGAAGTGTCTCAGGAACCTTTACAGAAGTTCTGGTTTTGGCTGAAATTGTGACCTTTCTGACCTTCCTTGTGTTCTAGCAGTAACCTCAGGCAAGGTTAAAGGCTACCAGTACAAAAACAGGCTTGATGCCCTCTCCAGAGTTTGCAGGTGTAGCATGTGGAAATCTCTCTGACTTGGGGAGAAATGGAGCTGCTTCTGTATGAGGAACTATACAGACACACAGTAAAGGATGTGGCACTATAAGAATTGTAGCAGTGAAGCACCCCATATTGAGTAGTCTCCTGTTCCTGGAGAGGGGCAAGCAGTGCAGGCTGGAGAGAAGTATGTTACCATGGTCAGCCTGGATAAGTAGAACCTTCTTGCTGTTGGACAGACTTGTCATGTGAGCCAGAATTGCTGAGGGAGATCAGGCATAGAGCATCACTATATGTCCAGGAGGACAGTGTGGGATGGGTATGGTTCCTATGTGCCCAAATTAGGGTGTATCATAGTCCCAGCCTCTCTTCCTAAATGAGTATGAACTTTTATAAGTGCCTCAGGCTGGGTGATGTCATCCTGCAAGCTTCCAATACAAGGGTGAGTCTAAGCTGATGACTGCAGGTCTGTCCTTTTCCCAGCTACTTCATCTCTGATACATAGTGGTCCCCAAGTGGAAGGGTTTATGCAGTAGCAGAAAAAGATCATTTTACTAACTGGAGGCCTGCATAGTCAGACCCTGCTCAGGCTAAGGAGCCAGAATGTTGGGGGGGGCAAGGAAGGACATGATGGAAATGATGTCATAGTGAGGTGACAGAGGTATCCTGGACACCAGGTAGGACATCCCAGGTTCCTACCCTATACTTGTGGAAGCTCCCTCCAGGGACACATCCTGTCTTGGTATCCAGACTCAACCCTGCAGCCTTGCTTTCCCCTGCTCCAGCCCTGGCACTCCCCAGTCACCCAAACCTGGAATTTTTTGCTAATTCTGCTGCAAATCTACTCCTGTTCTCTTGGCCGGCATGTTGTCTTCCAACTCTCTTTCATCCATACCTCTGTGGGTTCAGCACTGCAGTTTCCTGGACAGGGGAAAGGAGAATTTGATTGGAAAGATAACTGGTGAGTAGGAAGTGCCTTATCCTGTGCATTGTGACCAATGTAGAGATTGAGTCCTTTGCTCCTGACAGTGTGTTCCTCATTACAATTGCGTATGTTGCCTCCGCAACTATTGAAAACAACAGTGGGCAGAAATCTTACTGTGTTCCCGAGACTGATAGTGTTATGTGTGCTCATACTGGACATCTCTCTCTGTATACAACATAGATGCCGACTTCCAAGAGGAGGAGATTGTCAGAAACTGTCCTCCTGCTTTGAGGCTGCCAAGCTCTGTCCCTCTGATTGGCTCCTCCCTGTTCCTCCTCCCTGACCAAATGCACAGTCTGCTGGTGGGGCTGTTCCAGTTCCTCCTGGAGGATCAGAGGAGGGGCCCAAAGGTGTGCCGATGTACCTTCCATTCCTGTGCCTTGGTGAAGGGAATGACTAGTCATGGAAGGGGCCAAGGGCCACAGGAAAGTCAAGTGGAATCTGACTGCAACACTCCATGTGAGGAGAAAATTCTCCTGTAATGTCTCAGCCAACACATGCAAATCCAAAGCAGCTTGTCCTGACAAACTAAGTTCACCAAGGTTTGGAGAGAAGAGAAGATGGAAAGCAATGGCTACAGGGGTGCAAGTTCACTTTGGGTGAGGGGAAATGATTGAGGACTTGGTAAAGAGGGGGGGTGGTCAATATTGTGAGTGTGCCAGATGTCTCACATTTTATTTGTTGATTTCAGAATGTGGAAATAAGGAGAGA